CAGTAGGTACCTCTCAACTTCATTAACTCAGTGCTTGCCAGAATATGGATACCAGGACTTGAACTGTGTTCTTGAGAAGTTGTTTTTACCATTTGCCAGGAACGATATTAAATGCTGGAGACATAAAAAGGAGCAGAAAGAGGATTCCTGCTCTCCTGGAGGTAGAATCTAGAGTAGAGAAGCTTAATTATACAGATAGTTATAATTGTGATACGTACTACAAAGAAAAAGTGGTTAGTCATGATTTATATTTTCCATTGTTCAAATATTTATTAAATGCCTGTTAAGGCTCAGATTAATTTGCTAAGTATGAGGGCTATAATGGTGAGCAAAATACCAAATACTCCCTCATACAGGTTTTGAGGAGGATAGATTAATACCCAGTTAATTGATCCAACAGTCGTAAAAAATGTGCTGAGTGCTTTGAAGGAAAGGTATGGTTCTATGAGATTGCCCCCCCCTTTTTTTCCAAATTGAGTTCTGTAATGCATTTAGGTGAAATGGAAAATATCTGTATGTCATATAGTAGAGGTAAGAATTGTTACTCAGTTTACATATGTCTATGCTAGGTCACAAAGTCAAATGTATTTCATACTATGGGTCACAATAAAAAAAATCTTAAAAGCCACTGTACTGGGTAGATCCACCCAAGTTTAGGGGTTGGATTGGGAAAAGCTCTTTTGAGGAAATGATGTTTCAGCTGAGCTGTGAAAAATGAACAGCTATAAACTAGTACAGAAGAAACAATAAGAAGGTAGCAAAAATTTGGAATAGCATATGCAGAGGGCCTGTGTTGGTCCAAGAGACCAAGGCAATTGAAGACTAGCATGGCTAGAGTAAGACAGGAGGGGAGGTAGTAGGGGCCAGACACTGCAAGGCTTTGGAAGCCTTTATTAGGAGTTTGGTTTTTATTCTGAGAGCAGCTGGGAACCATTGGAGGCTTTTAAGCAGGAAACTGGCTTAGTTTGCTGTTTTGAAAGGATCACTTTTGTCCCAGTATATGAAACAGAATTATAGTATTAGGATGTAAGAGGATACACGGACACCAGTTGTCCAAGTGAGAGATAATGGGGGCTTGGACCCCCATGTTAGCAGTGGAGGTAGCATGAAATGCCTGGATTCCAGAGATTTAAGAGAAAAAATGTGGTAGGGATTTGAGATGGGCAGTGGTGAAAGAGAAGAAAGTGTCGGGCATGAGTCCTCTGTATACCTTAGACATCCCTTGAGACAAGGAATCCTGGAGGAGGAGGAACAGTTTGGGGGAGGGGAAAATCAGGAATTCACTTTGGATATGTAGCGTCTGAGGCACCCTTGAGGACAATCTTGAAAGAGATGCCTTGTAGGCAGTTGTGTTTAGGAGTTTGATCTCAGAGAAGAACTGGAGAATTTAATACGTGAGTCATCGGCACATAGATTACTGACGCTATGGACAAGGATGAAGTCATTTAGAGAGTACAGTGGAGATCTTTAAAAAATAGTACTAATGTCAGTGCCTGGGCTCCATGTAGACCAGTTACCACCACCCCCAGTTGCCCTGCCTCTCACCCCTGGGTTCTGATTCAGCCAAATGAGCACAGACCCATGGAGAGGTCCTGGATTATGCAGCCTGCTGAAGCATGCACAGACTGGCTTTGCCTATATCCCTACTACCCTACCCTCAGCCCACACCTTCACATCCTTCGGGGCTTTCTCCACCGTCTACTGAATGGAGTCAGTACTCAGGGCCCTCCCCAGCTCTACCCCAATCTCAGTCTTATTCCAGGCTGCTTCCCAGCACAAACTCTCTACTTGAGTCACACAGCTGGTCTCCCCCGCACTCTGCCCTGCCTCTGCTCCTTATCTGAAGCAGGAGTTATGCTCTCCACTCTTTTTCCTGCTCAAAGGCCATTCCCCTACCCTGAAGGGTCCCATCCTTGCTGAAGCTTCCCTAATCCCCATAAGGCCTAGAATACTTTCTTTCCTTTGAAGAATATCATCAATTCATGATTTGTACCTCTCATTTTCTGTTTAGCAGAGATGACTGTCATTTTAGAGTATGTTCTAACTAGATCATGTCTTACACTGTAGCCCTTGTTATTCTTAAGAGAGGTGTTTCCAGAATCCTCAAACTCTTAAATTACTCCAGGAACAAGTGTAGAGCTGAGTAGAGAGTATCTATTAGGATGCAGATGCTGGGTCAGAGGTGAGGGAGGAAGAGGGTGGCCCTGTACCTGCTCAGTGGACAGGCAATTCACACGTGGGTCTCAATAGAACTGTGGTCCTCCCCCATAGCTCAGAATTCTAATGATGGCTGAGAATGTGAATGATCAATCTGAGAAAGCCAAAACTTGCTAACTTTCCTATGACCCTACAACTCCCTGTGCTTCAGAGGTCTCCTGTTGGAACAGGCTGATGGGGCAGACAACTTACTGATCACACTGGGACTTGGCTGATCCTATAGCATAGAGAGCCACTCCCAGTGTGCTGGGAAACTCTCTCCTGGCACAGGATGGAGAAGGCTTTTGAGTCTTACATACAGTAAAACACAGACAAGAGTGGGCAGACAGCAGAGATGAGGGAATTAAAGGATTTTCGCATCTGGCCCCATTTGACCTCTCTGCACTCAGATTACTTACTCTGCCTCTTCACGTGATGTTCGCCTGTAGGCATGGGGCTGACCCCAGTGACCCCTTGCAACAGGGTTTTGCAACATCCTGGTAGGGATGACATTGTATTAAGCCAGAGATACTCCCTGGTGCAGCTCCCTGATAAGCCCTGGTTGTTTGCAAAATGCCAGACTGTGGTCAGAATCTTTCTTTAATCTGGTTTGGAATACATTAACAAATAAAATCCCTGGTTGTTGTGAATATTATTAAACTAGCAGATACATACTTGCTCTTAGCCAAAAGGCCCAGAAGCTATGTGTGAATTAATTTTTAATTCTTAGATTTCAGCTTTAGTAGTACTGTTGACTAATGCTAATTGACTTTCTCACCATCGATGCAGGAGAGTTCCAGATGTCCACATTCTCATCAACCCTTGATATTGTCAGGCTTTTTTTTTTTTTTTTAATTTTAACAATTTGTGCGTGTGTGTGTGTGTGTGTGTGTGTGTGTGTTTGTATTTCATTGTTTTGTTTTGCATTTTCCTGGTGGCTAATGGGGTTAAACAACTTTGAGGTTTATTTGGATATCCTCTTTCATGAAGTGCCTGTTAACATCTCTTGCCTATTTTTGTACTAGGTCTTTTTCTTATTGCTTTGTAGTTCTTTGTATATATCTGGTATGAATCCTTGGTCAGATACATGTGCTGCAAGTATCTTCTCCCCACTCTGATTTATGTCTTTTGTTGTTTGTTTGTTTGTTTTTGTTTTGTTTCATTGTTGTTTTACTCGCTTCATGATATCTTCTGATGAATGGAAGTTCTTTAATGTAACCCAATTTGTCGAGTCCTAGGTGTTTGATTGATAATATGAAATGGTATCTTATTTAAAATTTTATTCTCTAATGACATATAAAAAATTTTTAATTTTAATTTTTTTCTAATGATTTTATTTATTTATTTGACAGAGAGAAACACAGCGAGAGAGGGAACACAAGCAGGGGGAGTGGGGGAGGGAGAAGCCGGCTTCCCGTGGAGCAGGAAGCCCGTCCCAGGACCCCGGGACCCCAGCCGAAGGCAGACGCTTAACAACTGAGCCACCCAGGTGCCCCTCTAATGACATTTTTTAAAAAAGATTTTATTTATTTATTTGACACAGAGACACAGGGAAAGAGGGAACACAACCTGGGGGAGTGTGAGAGGGAGAAGCAGGCTCCCCGCTGAGCAGGGAGCCTGACACGGGGCTTGATCTCAGGACCCCAAATTCATGACCTGACCTAAGCCGAAGGCAGACAAGGCAGACGCTTAACTGAGCCACCCAGGCGCCCCTCTAATGACCTTTTTCAAAGACAACATTTACATTGTTTGTGGTTTACATATAGAGATACAGTTGATTCTTATATATCGACCTTGTATCCAATGACCTTGCTAAATCAACTTACTAATTCTAAGTGTTTTATTCATAGATTCCTTTGGATTTTCTACATATGTCATCTACACATAATGGTAGTTTTATTTTTTCTTTCCAATCCTTATATTTTTATTTTTTTTCCTTTTCTTTTTGCATAGGCTAGTACCTCCAGTACAATGTTGAACAGAAGAGATGATGGGGACATCCTTGTCTCAATTCCAACCTTGGGGATGTCTTTCAGTATTTTACCATTAAGTGGGATGTTTGCTTTAGATATTTTAGTGATATTCTTGATTAAGGAAATTCCTTTCTCTTTCTAAGTTGCTAATTGTTTTTTTTCTTAAAATCATGAATGGGTATTGATTTTATCAAGTGCTTTTTCTGCATCTACAAAAATAGTCATATAATTTTTCACTTTTATTCTATTGACATTTATCTTTATTCCCACTGATTGATTTTGGAATATGAAGCCAGTCTCTCATTCCTGAAATAAACTCAACCTTCAAGCCAGCAGTGTTGTATTTTTCTATCCATAATTATTTTTATTGAGATTTTTGCAGGTATGTTCATGAGAGATTGGCCTTTAATTTTGTCAGATTTGGTATCAAGGTGGTGCTGAAATCAAATCAGGAAATATTTCTTTTCTGGAATAGTTTGTGTAATTTGACATTTTTTCCCTTACATGTTTGGCTGGAAACTCTTTTGATAACATACTTTAGAACCAGTTTTGTAGGCCACATTTTGGGAAACAGTGGTCTAGAACAAAACTTAAACATGAAATAGTAAATTCCTGCCAGTTTGAATGCTCTCATTTTTATTTATTTCCTCCCTATGCAGGACCAGCCATTTTACCTTTTCTTTCCTGGCTGTGTGGGCTCAGCTAAGTCAGCACACAGGAAAGCGGTGAGGCCATCTGAGACCAAGCCTGGTCCTCAGGTCTCCTCTCTCTCCTTGCCACCAGGCAGCCTGCCACAGCCCTGCTCAGCCATCTCCACACTCCTCTGACAGAATGAATGCCCTCGATGGCGTCCCCTTCAAGGTGCCCAGTGGCTTTGTGATAGGCACAGAGCCCCTTCCTGGGCCAGAGTTCAGTGTCCCAGCCTGCAGGGAGCTTCTGCTGGGTTCTATGGTAAGTGTATCTCTCTGTCCATCTATCTCTTGTCTCTGGGTCTGTAGATCTGATGCTGAGACTCATAGGCCTTGTTCCTTGATTTTAAAGGGCAGCAAGGCCAGGGTGCCTGGGTGGCTCAGTCAGTTAAAGTATCCGACTCTTTTTTTTTTTTTTTTTTTTAAGATTTTTATTTATTTATTTGAGAGAGAGTGTGAGAGAGAGAGAGAGCACATGAGAGGGGGGAGGGTCAGAGGGAGAAGCAGACTCCCTGCTGAGCAGG